CATCAAAAATAATGAGTTCATGTCCTTTGTAGGGACATGGATGAACCTGGAAACCATCATTCTCAGCTAACTGACACAAGAACAGAAAATCAAACCCCGCATGTTCTCACTTATAGGTGGTGTTGAACAATGAGAACACATGGAAACAGGGAGAGGAGCATCACACACTGGGGTCTGTTGGGGGGAAATAGGGAGGGACAGCAGGGGGTGGGGAGTTGGGAAGAGATAGCATGGGGAGAAATGCCAGATATAGGTGAAGGGGAGGAAGGCAGCAAATCACGCTGCCATGTGTGTACTTATGCAATGATCTTGCATGTTCTTCACATGTACCCCAAAACCTAAAATTAAAAAAACAGAAAAAAGAAAAAAAAAAGTTTGGCCCCTCGTCTCTCCTCCTTGCCCATGGGCAGTGTGTGGAGGGGTAGGAGTATTTCGAATCCCACTCAAACTCGCTGCCCCTGCTTTCTTCCTCATAGTGCCAGTGGGATGGGGGATGGGGGGCAGTTCTCTGACATAATAGGCACCCTTCAACTCACCTCTTTTTGAAAAATTAAATTCTTGGCCGGCACCTGTAATCCCAGCACTTTGGGAGGCCGAGGTGGGTGGATCACAAGGTTAGGAGTTCAAGACAAGCCTCACTAACATGGCAAAACCCCTTCTTTACTAAAAATATAAAACTTAGCTGGGCATGGTGGTAAGTATCTGTAATCCCAGCTCCTTGGGAGGCTGAGGCAGAATTGCTTGAACCCAGGAGGCAGAGGCTGCAGTGAACTGGGATTGTGCCACTGCACTCCAGCCTGGACAACAGAGTAAGACCTTGTCTCGAAAAAAATAAATAGAATTCTTGGGAAGGTGTGGTGGCTCACACCTGTAATCCCAGTACTTTGGAGGTCAAGGTAGATGGATCACCTGAGGTCAGGAGTTCGAGACCAGCCTGGCCAATATGGTGAAACCCCGTCTCTACTAAAAATAAAAAAAATTAGCCGGGCGTGGTGGCGAGTACCTGTAATCCCAGCCACTAAGGAGGCTGAGGCAGGAGAATCACTTGAATCCAAAAGGTGGAGACTGCAGCGAGCAGAGACCTCACCACTGCACTCCAGCCTGGATGACAAGAGCAAGACCCCGTATCAAAAAAAAAAAAAAAAAATCAAATTCTTAAAATTGTAAATTAAGGAAAATAGGTGCCAGAATGAAGGCAGGTAAAAGAATTGAGAGAGAAAGTGATTCAATGCATGTCTTATGAACACTGTCACCAAAATTTAGCTCATAATATACAATACAGATAACTCCTGAACTTGCAGTGCAGCTACTCCTAATAAATCCATCATAACTTAGAAATATCCTGTTAAAAATGTGTTTTCAACTTACGATATTTTCAACCTCCAAAAAGTTTATCCTGACATAACTCCATGGCAAATTGAGAAACACAATAAATGCATATTGTTTTCATACCACTGTAAAGTCTAAAAATTATAATTTGAAACATCTCAAGTTGGGAACTGTCTACTTTAAAAATACTAATGTCTGACTAGATAATGAGCATTACCTTTCAATGCAATAATAAAAATATGCTGGGCATATTTTCAAGACAACTGTAATAAACATAAAAATCTTTTTAGCAGCAATACCTACCTGTTCCGCTAGAAAAAAAAAAAAATCTTAAAAGAGGTAAGGAGGGAAGGAGAAAAAGATAGTCTGTAACACTCAATCTTTAACTACAGTATCACTTATAATGACCCCATATTTTTAAAGTCCTTTCCCAAATAGTCCCAAGCCAAGCAAGCATGTCTAACAATGAGCTTATAGTGTGTTTACTTCATTTACACTGTGCTTACTTTATAATCAGTAAACCTCGGCTATTATCTAAATGTAAAAATGGATTCAAGTTTCACAGCAAAAAAATCAAGTTACATTAAACTTATATATGCCAAAAGCAAAATCCAAATAGTATTTACATACTTCTAAGTGTTAAAGCTAAACAAGTTTGACTAAATACAATGTTTTTTAATTTAGCATTCACTCAACCACCACAAGAAAATTCTTTTTTTAAAAAAAGAAAGAAAGAAAGAGAGAAAGAAAGAAAGAAAAAAAAAAAAAAGAATGAAGGAGAGGAACAAAGAGGAAGAGGGAGAGAGAATGGGGTGTTGCTTTATTGCCTGGGCTAGAATGCAGTCTAAAAACGGGTATGCCAATAATTGTGCTTAATAATGGAGACATGAAAAAATGAGGGAAGAAAATAACAAGCAGCCAACCAATATTTCATTTAAACCTGTAAGTAGGTGTGATGTGGTACTGATAAGAGCGTATATTTTGTGTATTTAAAGTGAAGAGTTCTATAAATGTTTATTAAGTTTACTTGTTCCAGATCTGAGTTCAAGTCCTGGATATCCTTGTTAATTTTCTGTCTCGTTGATCTGTCTAATATTGATGTTGAAGTCTCCCACTATTATTGTGTGGGAGTCTAAGTCTCTTTATAAGTCTTATGTATCTGGGTGCTCCTGTATTGGGTACGTATATATTTAGGATCGTTAGCTCCTCTTGTTGCATTGATCCTTTTATCATTATGTAATGTCCTTCTTTGCCTCTTTTGATCTTTGTTGCTTTAAAGTCTATTTTATCAGAGGCAAGAATTGCAACTTCTGCTTTTTATTTATTTTTGCTCTCCATTTGGTTTGTAAATCTTTCTCCATCCTTCTGTTTTGAGTCTTTGCGTATCCTTGCATGTGAGAAGGGTCTGCATGCAGCATACCGATGGGTTTTGGCTGTGTCTTTTGATTGGGGGATTTTGTCAACTTAAAAAAAATCTTAAAATACAAAATCTAATTCATTCCCAGAGCAAAAAAAAAGATTTCTACATGTAGTCATCAGCACTATATTGATTCAGGATCACATCATATTTAATAACTGCCCTTCAAATAAAACATGACAGGCCATATACTAAAATAAAAATGATTATATAGTAAGCAATTTTTAAACAAGATAATATACATAAAATGGCAGAACACAATAATAGTGGGGCATCCCTCTTCACAATTTATAATGAGCCCTGTGTAAGAATCCTTAGTTGGTGGCTTAAAAAGCTTAAATAAAATCTCATGGTGCTTATTACTAAAGCTGTTAATTAAACCAACCCTGCTATTTTTTTATCAGCAATCTAATCAACAATAAACAAGACAGGCTTCTATTACTGTCACTTTATAACAAAACCATCTCAAAAAGAAATCGAGATATATATATGTTTACTTGCTGCTTGAGATCTAAATAGATCTCAAGGCGTGGTAGCTCATGCCTGTAATCCCAGCACTTTGGGAGGCCAAGGTGGGTGGATCACCCGAGGCCAGGAGCTCAAGACCAGCCTGGCCAACATAGTGAAACCCTGTCTCTACTAAAAATACAAAACAATTAGCCAGGCATGATGGCATAGGCCTGTAATCCCAGCTACTAGGAAGGCTGATGCACAAGAATCACCTGAACCTGGGGGGCAGAGGTTGCAGTAACCCAAGATCATGCCACTACACTCCAGCATGGGTGACAGGGAGATTGTGTCTCTAAATAAATGCCTAACAACTGCCCTAAAGTTATAATTATTTCACTCATAATAGAGAATTTACTCTCAAAACTATTTAAGTTTTTTAAGTGTTTACCTTGGAAAAAAGTACAAACAAATTCAAACCAAAAAAAAATTTTTTTTTCCTTCTGAGTCGGAGTCTTGGCTCAGTCGCCCAGGCTGGAATGCAGATCTCGGCTCACTGCAATCTCCACCTCCCGGGTTCAAGTGATGCTCCTGCCCGAACCTTCAAGTAGTTGGGATTACATGCACACACCACCACGCACAGATAATTTTTTTTTTCTGTATTTTCAGTAGAGACAAAGTTTCACCATGTTGGCTGGGCTGGTCTCGAACTCCTGACCTCAGGTAATCCGCCTGCCTTGGCCTCCCAACGTGCTGGGCTTACAGGCATGAGGCCACCGTGCCAGGCCCAAAATTTTTTAAAGAATTATTTGTTGGCATTTACCAAATCATATTTACAAATATGAAAATGATACGTTATCTAAATTTTAAATACAGTCTACATAAATATTTCTAAAACCAGCATATACAGACTTTCTAAGAAAAAATTTTCCATTTGACAATGTCTTTTTTATCCTCACTTCCTTAAAAACAATTCATAATAGATTCTTTTTAAGAGACAGGGTTCTCACTCTGTCAACCAAGCTGGTGTGCAATGGCACAATCCCAGCACGCTGCAGCCTCCAATCAAGTAATTCTCTCACCTCAGCAACCTGGGTAGTTGGGACTACAGGTACCCACCACCGTGCTCAGTTAATGGCAATGTGTTCTTATTAAAGAACATATCAAAGAACAAATTAAGTATACATGATTTTTAGTTTATTAAAAAGTAATTATTCCCTATAAAGCAAGTAAAAATGTAAGCAGGAAAACAGGCAAGATAGAAGAAGACAGATTAGTATTTAGGCAAGCTTTTAGTGTTTTAATTAAAAGCCAAAATATTCTCAAACAAAAGATAAGACATTTAGCCACTAGAAAAAAAATTAATAAACCATTAGCACCACTGAAAAGGAAAAAATAGCGAATAACATACAGAACTTCAAAACTGTTCTATTATAAAGGAAAAAGTTGATAATTACTTACAGGCGAAGTAATCAGTTAATAATATATAGCAACTAACTACTATTGCTGAAGTCACCTAAAGATTTCACAAGATGACCACAGTAACACATGCAAGAAATCGCTCTCATGCTTTCAATGAAATTATAATTTAAATTTTCAGTTGCAATGGGTAAAACCATATTCACAAATATGGCATTATTTTTAAACCTATCCTTTCATTAAATGAATACTCTTTTTTAGCCAAAATTTTTCTATATTTCAATGTCTCCATTTAACTACCAAGAATGTAATTTTATCTAAAAAGGCAAAAAAAAAAAATTCTATTAAGCAGATGTGCTACAAATTTAGCAACAACAAATCCACTTACTTTTTTCTCCTTCTCATGATGTTTATCCTGAGAGTGAGAGGAAGAATCACTTAAACTTTGATCATATGACCTATTAGATCCCCGTTTGCTCTTTTTCTAAAAAAGAAAATATATATACATATATGTATATGTATATAAAACTTTTTATAAGAATCTTTTTATTAGGCTTAAATCAATTCAACTTTGAAGTATTTTTAATGCCTACTGAAACTTTTAAAAGTCTATTTCAATCTATATAATCCAGTTTAGACACCATTGATATTATCTATTGCATTATAAAAGAAAATCTAAACATTAATGCCATATTTTTGTAAATTAATTAAAATATGTGAAAATAGATTACCTATTTTCAAATAAGCTACTATATATTTTCAATATCAGCTTAAAAATAAAGTTTCAAACCAAAGAGAAAATGCCATATTAAAAAAGGGTGCCAAGACTAGAAGAATAGACAGGCAAATATTTGAAGTGTTACTTTATGCCGCTAGGAAAATAAGAAGCCTTTTAATCTTATACCTTCAGTATTAAGGTATACAGTTTTCTAAAGGTTTATCACTGCAGTTCAATAAGAAAAAAATTAATTCCTCCACATTATATTTGATAGAGCAAATAACAAAAAAATTTTTTTTAATTAAAGGAAATGTCAGTATTAGACTCATGCATTTTCAAAGCATTACTAAAAGGCATCACACATTTCTATTTAAACACTTGTACCATTGCATAATTAAGTACGAAGGTGAGAATTATTCGAGGTGTTTAAAAGTTGGTGGTAGCATATCTAATTGCTGTAAACTAGATAAAAATGACTATTAAAAAGTTCAAATTCCATGCAAATGTAGTTTATACAATCTTATTAAATCATTAAACATTTTTCCCAACTACCAAATGGGATAACATCATGTTTATAATTAGCAATAAGAAAATTCTATTTGCACAACAAACTTCAAAATCCATTTTTTATTATGTTATTTATATCATCTCTTATTTAGAAAATGAAGATTTCAATTATGCTTATTACACCAAGAAAAATTTTCAATTTTATAGTCTCAAAATTTTTGTTGGTCATGAAAATAAATCAAAGTTTTCAGCATCAAAGGATATACAGATACATACTCTTAAGTAATTCATATATAAGAACCAGAATACTGGAGGCCTGAGCTCCTCATTTCATAAGACAAGGGCCCCTCATAGTATTTATTTTAAAAAGAAATCGCCCCATTCACAAGGGAAAGATAATAATTCTAAAATCAGGCAATAAAAGAAAAATAAAGAACCCTTAAACTTTCAGTGCATGAATATCTACCATTAAAAAAGAATGAAAAATAGACACTTGGGACATCAAAGACATTCTAATCCTTCAAAGGAACAAGGACACAAACATGTAACAGCCAATCAAATGTTACTAACTCAATCAACATGATCCTGTGGGACAGCAAACAGTAACCAAATCTAAAGAATTACCAAAGCTGCATTTAAATATATTTTTCTGAAGGTTTTTAAGCAAGTTACAAAACACGCTTATTTCAGTTTTGCTACTTCCCAGTAAATAAAAATGAAAATAAATAATGGGCAATAGTAATTAAGCAGAATGATGAGAAACAAAGTGATAATCACAAAATGTATAATCGGTGCCAAAAATCAAATTAACTAAATGTATACCAACCTTCACTATCAGTATTAATAATTATACATACATACATATATATATACACACACACACACACATTTTGGACACAAAGTTTCGTTCTTGTTGCCCAGGCTGGAGTGCAATGGTGCAATCTCGGCTCTCCACAACCTCCGCCTCCAGGGTTCAAGCAATTCTCCTGCCTCAGCCTCCTCAGTAGCTGGGATTACAGGCGTGAGCCACTGTGCCCAGCCTAATATTTATTCTAAATGAGAGTACTTTAGAATATTCACCTTTACAAATAATTTGAAGCAAGGCAAAATCTTTTAAAATTACTATTAATAGATCTTTTTACTTCCAATAAAGAACACGCTAAACTAACAATCTCAAGCCAAAAACTGAAGGAAAAAGGAATTATTATATGCTTTTTCTTAATAGTGTCTTTCTATTGTCAAGACTAATCATTATCATCTCATTGAATCCAAGACAAATTCTTACCAGCTTACTAAAATGGTATTTACAGTAGCCACAGTATTGGACATTATCGGCACCATTACCTTCTTCTTCACAAAGCAGTCCGGCAAACTGAGCACTGAAAATAAAAGGCAAGTATATTTATTGATATACTAAAACCACAGCACCTGTATATATAAGCAAATAAAATTTACTTCCAAGCATTCATACTCCAAGAAAATATATCTCCTAAGAAAAAAATGGGAAAATTAAAAAGCTTTATTCTACCTGTGACCAAATATATTTCACCCCAAGCTGCAACTGATCTTTGTTTAAAGTTATATTTATGGCTTAAAACAAACTCTTCATGCATCTCTATTAGGATGAAGATGTATACTTGGTTTTATGTCACCAAATAGATACTAAATTTAAGATACATTCTCTTCCCCTCAACCTCTCCCCATCAGTTCACACTTTATTCTACTGTTTCAATCTGTCACAGGTACAAATGGAAAGGCCATGCCTCTAAAAGGCTAAAGTAACGGTATTTAGCCCATGGATGCAGATTACATAGCCTTACAAGGAAAACATACATTCACTCAAGATGAAATCTGCAACTCTAAGTGCTTTAAGTCACAGCACAATGAGCAAGATAACCATAAATTGTGTTTTTCAGTCAAAAGCAATGGAAGAAATGAAAATGAAACCTAAAGTTACAATTTTTTTTTTTTTTAAGACACTGTTTCATTCTGTCACCCAGGCTGGAGTGCAGTGGTGCAATGAAAGCTCACTGAAGCCTTCACCTCTTGGGCTCAGGCAATCCTCCCACCTCAGCCTCCCAAATAGCTGGGACTACAGGAGTACACCATCACACCTGGCTAATTTTGTTTTTAGTAGAGATAAGGTGTCTTCCTATGTTGCCCAGGCTGCTTTTTAACTCCTGGGCTCAAGCAATCCTCCCACCTTGACCTCCTTAAGTGCTGGGATTACAGGCATAGCCCCTGCACCCAGCTATTATTCATTTTTATTTTTTTATTTTTATTTTTATTTTTTGAGATGGAGTCCCATTCTGTTGCCCAGGCTGGAGTACAGTACGCAATCTCAGCTCACTGCAACCTCAGCCTCCAGGGCTCAAGCGATTCTCCCACAGCCTCCAGAGTGGCTGGGAATACAGGTGCACTCTACCACGCCTGGCTCATATTTTTGAATTTTTAGTAAAGATGAGGTTTCACCATGTTGCCCAGGGTGGTGGTTTTGAACTCCGGAGCTCAGGCGCTCCGCCCACCTCTGCCTCCCAAAGCGCTAGCATTATAGGCATGAGCCACTGCGCCCAGCATATTCATTTTTAAGAACTTTGTAATCATCATCTTTTCAATTTGACCTTTCACACTTTTAACATTCCAAAATTATATTAGTATACAGATCTCATATCCCAAAAACTACTTTCATCTTTGAGAAATTTGGTACAGCCATTACGAGAATTTATAAAAGTCAAAAGCCATTTTCCATTTCACAATAGTAGTATAAAACAGATTTCATATAACCAAACACAAAAACTCAGGAAATGGGCGTGTACCTACACTTGGCAGTGAGGCATAGATTGATTCTTTTTTTTTTTTTTTTTTGGAGACAGAGTTTGGCTCTGTCACCCCGGCTGGAGTGCAGTGGCGCAATCTCGGCTCATTGCAACCTCCGCCTCCCAAGTTCAAACAATTCTCTTGCTTCAGCTTCCCAAGTAGCTGGGATTACAGTCATGCACCACCACATCCAGCTAACTTTTGTACTTTCAGTACAGACAGGGTTTCGTCATGTCGACCGGGCTGGTCTGGAATGCCTGAACAGAGGTGATCCACGCAACTCAGCCTCCCAAGCTGCTGGGATTACAGGTATGAGTCCCTGCACCTGGCCTGAAAGAATAGCTTAAATAAATTTTTGAGAAGTCGCAATTTTAATATTGAGAAGTCGCAATTTTAATATTGAGAATGACGGTGGTCACACTACTTCTCACTTGAGACACAGAAGGTACAGAGGTACTATCATTCATTGAATCCTCACTAATATTTCAGACACTACACTAAATTTACCTAGATTAGCTCACTTAATCATAATAACAAATCAAAGAGTAAGCAATCAATACCAAAATGTTAAACAAGATGAAACTGAAGCTTATAGAGAATAGAACATCAGAACCAGGGTCCACTTATTGCAAAGTTACCCTAGTAAATACATTCAGTTATAAGAATTATCTTGTTACAAAGAAGTAAATGTGAACCTAGAAAGTATCCCAATAAAATTTACCACAATTAATATTTGAGTATCCTCTTTAATTTATGATTGTTATGCAAGGCATTTGCCAAGTTCAGTTCTGTGCAACAATGGAAACATCCTTACCATGTTACATGGAAAGCCTGTCGACATCCATGTTTATTACATGTCATGCAAGCACCAGTGGCTGCTTTGCTTTCTCTTCCTTGTTCATCACAAATGTAGCAAGTCTTGGGGTTAAAAAAACAAAAATAAAACAAAAATCAGACATGTTCTTAACATGAATCAGAATTATATAGTTATCTTCAGAAATGAAGATCAGGTCTACTAACTAACCTACCTTAACTGAAAATATGAATTCATTTTTGGACAATAATCTAATTTTTGCAAATAATACAAACAGGAAAATAGAAACAAAGACATACAAACAGTCCTATTAAAAAATTCACTAAGGCATTATCTTCATCAGTTTCAAAAACTCTGCAAGATAGGAAGACTCTTCCCAGGCACTCAGGCCAGGGGGCCACAACACAATCTATCATACTTTTTCTTCCTAACACCTTATCATCAAAACTGATTCTTGTAACAAGGGTGTAAAATCAACATTTATCTTTCCCCTATGCAGGGAATAATCATATCTAAGAGAGTTTGAAACATGGCGTTGGAACCTAAGAGACAAAGAACAGCCCCCCCATGAAGGAGCAAGGTTTAGGTCATTCATTTCACCTGTCTGTGAGGAATTCTATACGGGTAGACTGTCATTCATCCCCACCAAGCTGACATGTGTGGGCTATGGAAGAAGATACTTCAGCTAACTAGGTCAGAAATGCCCAAGAGATACAAAGCCAATGAACACCTCCAGAAATTTTGACTGACATCTTCCATTTCCCAGGTGCAAATAACTAACAGGCAATACAAACTTTTCACAGCTCAAAAATCATGGTCATGTGACAAAAGACTGACTTGTAAAAATGATAATCTGTAAGTGTCAGTGTATAATGAATAAAATCAGCAGACTGCAAGCTAAGGATACAAAAAGTTATATCTAACTACATATAATGAAGTGATACATGTCAAAAAAGAAACTAATTTATATAAAACAATAAAGTATAACCTAGCCCAACTTCAACATGACCACATGGTTTCATTCACTCTGCACTGTGGTGCCAAATAACAACCATGCAACATTATTTACAAGGACACAGTTTAAAAAAAAAAAAAACTTAATTATATAACTAGGTACATGATTTCAACTCCTCCAATGAAAAACCAGGATTCAGACTCAACTGAATTACAAACATCATTTTACACCTCTAAAAAGTAAAATCCTAAATAACAACAAAACCTATCTACACACAGTGAATAAAAGCATTTCTAAGTACCAGTTACAATGAAAGAATTTAGCTTGCATTTTTGCCTACAAATGAGAAAAAAAAAAAAAAAAAAATCTGCAAACAGAGCACACTGAAACAATAACATTCTATATGGAAAAATCAGGGAAAATGTGAAAAAGAGGCGTATTTTCAGGTGCAGTGGCTCATAGACTCCCATTCTCACAACAAGCTAAGAATCCTGGGGCCCTATCATCCCTGTCCCAGCTTTCAGTAGAGTGGAAAGTTCCATATTAGGAGAAACAAACTGACAAAATAAGAAGCTGTCATATCCTTCCCTTCTCTCAGTACACTCTTATAAAGCAAGAGTCTCTCTTCAGAAGAGAATACTCATGCCATCACCAGTTCCAGAGCAGAGGGGCAGAGGGTATACACTTACAGGGACTTTAAGAACCAAAGAATTCTGCAGTTCTGCCTGAGAAGACAGACTCTGTTTTTAACAGGCTTAGAGTTCGTGCTTAAGGATGTTGTCAAAAATAATGGAGAATTGGCTGGGAGCAGTGGCTCATGCCTGTAATCCCAGCACTTTGCGAGGCTGAGGTAGGCGTATCACCTGAGGTCAAGAGTTCAAGAACAACCTGACCAACATGGAGAAATCTCCTCTCTACTAAAAATACAAAAATTGGCAGGGCATGATGGTACACACCCAGCTACTCAAGAGGCTGAGGCAGGAGAATCGCTTGAACCCAGAGGTTGCAGTGAGCCGAGATTGTGCCACTGCACTCCAGCCTGGGCAAAAAGAGCAAAACTCCATCTCAAAAAAAAGAAAGAAAGAAGAAAGGAAAGAGGAAAAAGAAAAGAAAAGAAAAAAGAAAAGAAAAGAAAAGAAGAGAAAAGAAAGAAAAGAAAAGAAAAAGAAAAAAAAAGAAAGAAAGAAAGGGAAAGAAAGAAAGGGAAAGAAAAAAGAAAGAAAAGAAAAGAAAGAAAGAGAGAATTCCACATTGTGTATGTGTTTCTCAAAACATCACACTGTACTCTGCAAACATATACAATTATGATTTGTCAAACAAAAATAAGAAAAAAAAAGAAAACTAACAGAGTACCTGAATTCTGTTTTCCAGTATACTCACTACAATTTAAGTAAAGTCAGAGGGAAAAAAAAACTAAACAATGGAGACTTGTTAGCAATTAGGACAAGAATGATAGTTACAAGGAGAAACAATTACAACAACTGAACAGCCAGAAGATTAACAGTGAACTAGAGAAAAACAAAAGAAGGACCCTCCTGGTATCACACTCATCCCTGGGGTTGTAGAATGTTGTGCACATGAACTAGGTTGCACCCAATGGGAAGAAACTGTATCAGGATTTGTGACCAACTAAAAGCATTCCCCACGCCAAATACAAATGCAACAATCAATTAAGCTCAAGGGGCTATGGTACAACCTCTGATGAAAAACTGGCTGAAAAATTAGTTACTCGGACCCAGAAGCAATTCCTAAAAAGTCAAACTTCAAAGTAAAATCACATTCAAACCTAGTGGTCAAAAAACAAGCTCAACTGTACACCCTCTACAAAATGACTGGAAAATAACCTCTGATATCTTTGGAAAATATTCTCTAAACATACACCTCCAAAAGGAAGGGGTGAAAATGCAACTGACTAAGGAGTTAAGTACAGTAAGTGATTTTTTTTTCTTTTCTTTTTTTGAGATGGAGTTTCGCTCTTGTTACCCAGGCTGGAGTGCAATGGCGCGATCTCGGCTCACCGCAACCTCCGCCTCCTGGGTTCAAGCAATTCTCCTGCCTTAGCCTCCCGAGGAGCTGGGACTACAGGCATGCGCCACCATGCCCAGCTAATTTTTGTATTTTTAGTAAAGACGGGGTTTCACCATGTTGACCAGGATGGTCTCGATCTCTTGACCTCGCGATCCACCCGCCTCGGCCTCCCAAAGTGCTGGGATTATAGGCATGAGCCACCGCGCCCGGCCTACAGTAAGTGATTTACATGGCCCCAAAGTATGGGAATCCTAGGAAATCAAGCTTAAAAAAATGGGGGACTGGTTGGGTAAGGTGGGTCCTACATTTGTTTGAGCAGGGCCATCTGATGTTGTACACCACTGAAAAAATAAACTTCAAAAAATCAGTCTGGCAAAGTGATTAAACAAATAAACGACTAAACAAAAACAGTAAGACACATAGGGAGAAGGAGAATCATTATCCAGGGAGGGCTATATTACCTAAATCAGGCCTTCAACAAAAAATTAAAAAATAAAACACACACACAGGAAAAAGGAGCAGGAAAAGAAACTGCCTTTGAGTGTGCCCAGATGTTGGACTTAGGAGACAAAGACTTCAAACAATGTAACAAAGTAACAATGATAATACAATGAAACAGGATTGGGACAAAGCTATAACAAAGAATTAACACCTAGGCTGGGTAGGGTGGCTCACATCTATAATCCCAGCATTGTGGGAGGCTGAAGAGGCCAGATCACCTGAGGTCAGGGGTTCTAGACGTTTCTACTAAAAATACAAAAATTAGCTGGGCATGGTAGCATGCGGCTGTAGTCCCAGGTACTCCAGAGGCTGAGACAGGAGAATTACTTGAACCCAGGAGGCAGAGGTTGCAGTGAGCCAAGATCTTGCCACTGAACTCCAGACCAGGTGACAGAGCAAGGCTCCATCTCAAAATAAATTAATTGATTAAATTAAAAGAATTAACACTAGACAGTAACTCAAATAGGAAGAAATGAAGATACACCAAAATGGTAAATGGGAAAACACACACACATAAACTCTTAAAAGACATAAGATTTTATAAAGAAATAAGTTTAACAACATATTATTGAGTTTTTAACATATATAATGTTTATTTTAACAGAAAAAGGGGAAGAGGGCAATAAAGCTTGACAGGAGAAAACTGCTTTCTGCAAGTCTTTTTGCTGGTGGAAAGTCCTGTCTCAGTATTGATGGCTTCTGACTCACTGAGATGGTGGTTATGGCACAATCTTCCTTTCTTTTCCTTCCTTCCTTTATTCCTCCACCCCTCCCCATAGTAAAGACAAGGTCTTGCTATGTTTGCCCAGGCTGGTCTCAAATTCCCGGCTTCAAGCAATCCTACTGTCTCCCAAACGGATGAGACTAAAAATGTGAACTACTATGCCCAGCCATTTTTTTAAATAACAATGAAGTTGACTACAACAATTGACTCTTTCATAAAATATTGCTCTGTAGCATGCACTGCTGTTTGATAGCATTTACCTACAGTAAAACTTTCTTAAAATTGCGGTCAATTCTCTCAAAGCTTGCTGATGCTTTATCAATTAAGCACATATTTTATATCCTTCATTGTCATTTCAACAATGTTTACAGTATCTTCACCAGAAATAGATTCCATCTCAAGAAACCACTTTCCTTGTTCATCTATGAGAAGATACTTATTAATTCAAATTTGACCATGAGATTGCAGCAATTCAGTCACATCTTCAGGCTCCACTTCTAATTCTAGCTCTCTTGTTATTGCCACTACATCTGCAGTTACCTCCTCCATCAAAGTCTTCAATCCCTCAGTCATCCATGAAGGACAGAATCAACTTCTTTCAAACTCCCATTACTGTTGATATTTTGACCTCCTCACATAAATCACAAATGTTCTTAATGCTACCTAGAATGGTGAATTCTTACCAGAAGATTTTCAATGTACTTTGCCTGGATCCATCAGAGGAATCACCCTCTATATAGCAGCCATAGCCTTTCGAAATGTATTTCTTAAATAGTACGACTTTTGTGTCAAATTGACCCCTAGATCCACAGACTGCCAGATGGATGTTGTGTTAGCGGGCATGAAAAGAACACTCATTTTCTTGTACATCTTCATCAGCGCTCCTAGGTGACTAT